AAGTATAGGTTTTCATTACGTCGGGAAATTGAAAACGCAACCCCGCCCGGGATATAAGTATAACCGCATCGACATTATTGCCTAAGTACCTGTGCGAGTGCATGATATATTATTACGTAAACGGTATTTTTTTCCCGACCCCTCTCCTCCCACCAACAAATACACACACACACCCACACATACCGTGACCTTACCATGGTGCAAGCTGTTCAGAATATCCTCATGTATGAATTACCGCGCATAGGTTTAACTTCGGTGCCAATAATAATAATAATAATAAAAACAGTTTTCTAAAAGTATTTATTTCGAAATAAATTCACGTCAGAAAATGTATTCCAGTCACATATATGGCACTGTCGTCGGCGTCGTCGTCGTCGTCTGGGAAAACGGGTCAACGCATTACCTACCATCGCCTAAAGGCTATTATATGTGTTATATACCTACGCGCGTGAATAATCGAATGGCTGACAACCCCCTCGGGTGGATGGATCGGCGATTCGGGAAAATAACGTCATACCCGCGATAATATGCATATAACGTACACAGCTGCACATACACACACATAAACAGTCTCGTTTTCGGTTATTGTACGTGAGGTGTTTCCCGAAGAGGAAAAAATTAAAAACGGACAAAGACTACCACACCCAACCCACACACGGCGAGTCACTCGGGTGTATACATATTATATACGCAGCATTTTCATCACGCTCCTCGGGGCTGTCCGTTTGATGGAACGAATACGCAGTACGTAACCTTTAAACATCCAAATGCCAAATATGGAAAACGCCAATTCGACAGTGTTTCTCTTATTCCGAAATAAGATCCTTTGGCATTTGCTCTCCGCCCGCCCATCCGCGTGGAGTTATGCGTTCGCAATGTAGGTCAGACGTGGACGAACCGAGTTCATTTAAATTCAACTAAAACGACGCAAAAGTTTTTTTTTTTCTCTCCTTTCGGAAATATGGTTCCAACGTCAAGCTCGTCTTAAAATTGAATAATGTCAAAATAATTTTTAAGTAACCAACCAACAGCGTAATAAAACCCGAGAGAACTATAAGACTATTTCTCATTAAAAATAGACTGCGCCTACTTACTAAATGAGCATTATAATTAAACTAAAATGTCCTATGGTCGGGTCGTACTCTGCTTTAATTATAAATCATTGTTTTCGAAAGATAATTGTTGTGGTCCTACATACCAATTTGGTATGAATAAATTGCACATAGTTAGAACTTAATATTCTTGATGCCGATGTTTTATGTTTTAACGCAGTTTACAACGAAATGATTTCAAACTACTCGTTAAAAGGATCATCACTGGTGTTCTAATATCAAAAGTCGAGCATATTATTTATTTAACTATTTTAATTAAATGCACATATTTTATAAATAGTTTAAGATCTGTTCATATAGGTATTCATAATATTTAGTTTAGAATACACTGCTCTAAACTCGAACATTTAATATATTATGTTAGCATTTATTAAATCTTTCGTAAACTTTGGAAATGTGTATTTATGATGAACCGTCCTTAAACATAGCGCAATTATAATATTATAGTTATTCAAGTTTTATGTAATTAAAGTTTAGAATATTATTTATGTATTTTTCAAAATGTAATTTTGAGAGTTCTGTGTAAATAAATAACAAAAGGATCATCTTTATGCACCATGCAGTATATGACAATATTAAAATATCATCGGACAAATAAATTAATTAAATTTTTATAAGTGCAAAAATTTTAAATGTCGAATATACATTTTTCAAGAACAATAAAAATCATTTTGTAAGCCAGATAACTAACTAAGATTTTTAGCGAAATAATTAATTTCTAAATAGGTACTTGATGTCCAATAGAAATAAATAATTTTTTATTAGGGCCAACAATATCAATACTGTTATAACTATTTTACGTACAATGGAATTTCGCTCTCATAAAAAAATAAAAAAAAACTAATTTTATATGTAGAATATAATAAATTTTCATTTGAAATATGAATATTAGTCACGTTTATATTTTACTGCTGCTATTATGTTTGATGTTAAACGTGTAACCATATGCTATTTTCTATAATATAGTATATTATATTTCAAAGTACGAATTATAGGATTATAGAATACCGGTTGATATTGTTGATTGAATTTTGATTGACATTGATTCCATACGGTTCTGAAACACTGAAAATAGAAATTCATTTGAAATACTTACGTCCCCGAATCATTTTGAGAGGAAAAATAATATCGTCACCAGGGAACGCTTATATTTCACGTATTCCAAGCCGACTCACAAAATATGTATCACGAAATTGGCCATCGCCGTCGGTGGAGCGGCGACGGAAATAACAATTTCGTCCCCTCTAACTCGATAATATTTTAAACGAACCCCTTCGTCAGAACCAGGAATCCCCGGAGGATGTCCTTCTTACCTGCCGTCCGAGATAAATGGTTGCTAAAATTGGTTTCTCAATAGCCAAGATGATCGGCCGACGGGGATAGACTCGCAAGCCTTTCCGATGGTCTCCGACCCCGGTACCGATTTATATCGCCGTGACCCAATCGATTGTCAATGATTTAGTTTTCGGTATGTTGTTTCTCTTACCGATAACGCGCAGTGGAATGGGTCCGCGGTGGACGGCGGGGAGGGACGGGTGGAGTAGAAAAAAAAATAAAGGAAGAAAACACTCAACCTGCAGGTATACGAGAGGGCGGATTCCCACACACCCACACACACTGGGTTAGGTCGTATATCAACCGGAGGGAAACCGGAGCAATAATTTCGGCGCTGTAATACAGCTATAAATCTATTAACGCCACGCCCCTCCCACGTCCCTCGAACCACCACTCACTCGTCCCGCGGCCTGCCACTATACCGCGTATACCAGGCACCCGGCACCGCCGCTCCACCCGTGTAGTGTTCCAGTACAGAAAACGACGAGAGAACTTTATCCGGATTGTTCTTTGAACAATAGTCGTTAGCATTTCCGACCGTGCTCGTGTTTCGGCGATTCTGTAATAATACGCCAAATCCCACTGTTTCATTTCCGACATTATATTATCACGGTGGAAAAAAAAATAAAATTCTAGTGCTTGGCGCGTAGTATGTATACATACATACATATATATGTATATGTACATGTATATAATATATATACATATATATAAGGCCAGGGGAAACGTGTACAATGAGAAGGAAATAAAACAATTACTTCGTTGCGTTGTGGGTGAGGTGACGTGGGTGCGGGCGTGGTGCAAATAAATGTTTTTGAATGAACGAACATTTTTCTACTACACCGTGGACTATAATAATAATAATAAAAAAAAGAAGAAAAATTTAAAAAATGTAATAATTATTATTATAGTAATGCCCCTGATTATTCGTAGACTGTGTAGCAGGTCTGCAACACATAACGAGGCGATGATAATTTTTTGACATAGGTTTACGCCGCCGCACAACCAGCTTATATATCTTTACACGTACACACACACATACATACCCATTTTAATAATATATACTTTTATCGTCCCGGCAAACGCTAAAAGTGTTGTTATAAAACGTCCACCACAAAAAGGGTCTTCTGCTTTTCGGCGCGTTTATTACCGCGTTATCTTACCGTGTATTTCCGTAAGGCCGTCAAATCCGTTTTAATTAGTTTACTTCACAACGTTCCCGTTGATAATGTCCTCGCGGTGGTCCCACAGGAACAAAAAATATATTTTTCAAAGCATTTATTATTATTATTTTTTTTTTTTATCGTCCTCGACGTAGCCTGAAGGTGGATGAGAAAACACTAACTATATAGAAAAGCATAAGATTTTCGGTGCCATTTATCTTTATTATTCGGCTGGCATACGCCATTTACACGTTTCCGATTTATATACCCATTAGCTATATTATATCGTGTGAAACGGTAATCGGGTCAAGGTCAGTGGGTCTAGGGGGCCAGTAAGCCGTCGCGGAAATACTCTACAGACCAAGCGAATCAACAAAAACAGTTGTAGAAACGTCCAAACGTTCTTACGACGGAGGTCCTCGACTGATGGTGCCGCGTTTCGGTCGTAGGGCGATTATAGGTTTGAGACGTTTTCCAGACGACTAATTTTAGATATTTTATTTACTACTATAATGCAATATTATGATCTAAGCGGGGTGGTTTTTTTTTAAATATCATATATCGAATCAGATGCCTTTTTTTCCGCTGGTATTACCTATAAATACATTTGGGTATTCGGCGTGTTGCTCACTCCTATAAATAGTGAAACCGATAAGAGCACCTGAATACGACACCAACTTCCCCCGACGGTTAGCGAAACCACTAGTCACGGGCACAACTAGGACAGTTTTTTTATGGGGTCTTGGGTGGGCATAACCTTTTATATTTTTCTTTATTAATCTGTGTAATAATTTCCCCTACACCCTCAACTATGGGTTTGTATATATTTTGTAAGTGATTTGTAAATGTACACTAATTATATTTAAACACGAAGCGTGTACATTAATCAATGAACTAAAATTGTATTTCAATACATATTTCCTTATATGTTATTAACTATGTAGGTATAATAATATGTTTCATATAAACTTTTTAGATTTTTTTAATAAATTGACAACATCTCTTTCGGTTCGTATGTTCAATTCGAGAAACAGTCTCGTATCATACTTCCTCATCGTTCTTAGGGCCAAGCTTTTTCCGAATCGAAGAAAACACAATAATTTATGGCTATACCTTAATATATTGGTTTTTTTTTAATATTGTTGTCCAACGGAATACTATATTCGGCGGGATGCTGTGAAAATACTCTAGTTGGCTTAGCCACCCCGTACCCTAAATCACCCCCCAACCCCCAACCCAAAAAACTAGTTGCGCCGAGGCCTAGTCGCCGAGCGCCCGCATACACTTAGATGCACCAGTCGTGCCCAGATGTAAAATTAAAATTTGAAAAAAAAACCACCCCATGTGTATACGATGGTGACGGTGTGCGTGTCCTGACAGGAACGGACACATGCTGACGCACCGGCACAAAAAGCCGTTCGAGTGCAAGGCCAGCGGATGCGGAAAGTCGTACTGCGACGCGCGGTCGCTGCGCCGGCACACCGAGAACCATCACCACCACCGGCCGTCGTCCAACCAGGGCTCGCCACCCGCGTCGCCGTCCTCGTCCACGAGTTCCGGTTGTATACAGTACGCGCCCGCGCCCATGCCTTCGCCGCCCGGCTCGTCCGCGGCCGCCTCGTCCACCACGGCGGCCGCTGGTGCGCCGTCTTCGTCTTCATCGTCGTCAGCGTCGTCCTCGTCGTCCTCGTCCGCGTCCACCACGGCTGCGTTTGGGTCCATGTCGGCCATTTCGGTGTCGACGTCCGCGTCGTCGTCGTCGTTGTCATCTTCGTCGTCGTCATCGTCGTCTTCTTCGCCGTCGATGTCGTCATCTTTGTCATCGACGACGTCCTCGTCCGCCGCGCCGCACCACCAACAGCAGCCGCACGACGCGACGCCCAGTCAGCTGCAAAAGCTGCTCAGCGCCGAACCGCTGTCGTCGACCGGCGGCGGCGGAGGAGCTCTCCCGTCAAAGGTAAGACATTGCAATGGATATAACCATAGATGATAAAGAAATGGATACATATGGAACCGTTGACAGTAAAAACTTGGATAGGATATCATCAATTGAGGCCACTACTATATTTCAGCAGTAATAAACTGATGACAAATTGAGGCCGTTTGTTTACATGTTTGTAAATAGTAATAATAATAATAATATGATAATATATTATATATTGATATTCGATGTAGATAATATACACTTATTTGGCCTCGATCATTGATCACCGTCGATATAAGATGTTTAGTCCTATCCTTGTTTTTGTTATCTATGCAGGGAACGCACGTCGAGTGTTGAATGAACAGTAGATACCACATTGGTTAGCAGTGGTTACTGTATATTGCTTATTATGAGTTTATTATATTGTTTTCATAGAATAGACATTGATTGGTAAATTGAAACAAAACAAAAAGATTCGTTTTTATAACAGAATATAGTGGGACAATAATTTTAAATCAATTTAATTCACTGGTTTTTAACGGTATTAATTTGGCCAACATATATTTAGATCCTATTTTCATTTGATAGTTTTGCAATTGGAATTTATTACTGATATGCATGCTACTTAAATAACCGCTTCTACCTTATGGTAACATGACCTCTATTCGGTTACATTATTGATGATAAGGTGCATCCACTTATATATTATCTATGGATATAATATTAATAATATACTGATTACGATATCCCGACAATGTAATAATATAATCATACATTATATATTGGTGCTGAGTTAGGGCAGTCAAGTCCATCTGCACTCTTCAGTCCCAATTGGTTTGATTTTAAATGAAAAATTATATTACTATGATATTTTAATCTATAATCATTTTTATATTTTGTACCTGTTCGTCCGTGTTTTTGATACCTGTCAAAGTAAAAAATAATGTTTTTACCGGATCGTATAAAATATGCTTGCATCCCCGACGATAAACTCCTAGTTGTGGCACTGTATACTATATTATTATTACCATTATTATTGTCGTAGGTATTTCGATATGTGAAAAATAAAACCACAATTTTTCATTACCGTAATTCAGCGATTGTGTAAAAATACTATCGACAGTTGAGTATCATTAGTATTATAAATATGCCAAGCAATATATTATATTCGTTGAGGATTAGGTGGATTTAAAATTTCAAAAGAAAAAGTAGCGAAAATATTAAAAGAGATGTATAAATGTTTCAACAGTAATTAAAGTACGATTCATCAGTGTTTTTCGGCGTAAAAAATGTGTTTTTTGTCTATGTCGACATTTTCATTAGCGCGTACCAGTATGATTTAATTAGATAAACTTGATTAAGTGTGTTTGCTAATAAAATTATTCGTCATTATTAACTACGGTGTAGTAAAAGCTATAGCATAAATGCATTTTGAATTGAATAGAAATTAGAAAGCCTTCAGTATTCTAACACACGTTGCATGAAAATTGCATATACAATGCGCCGTCTTAAAATAAAAAATGATATAGTATTATTATTGTTTGCTTACTGTATGCATTTTGTTTTTGTTATTTACAATGTGAATAATAATAAAGGTCAGATCGTGCTGTTTTCTATCAACGTTTACTAAATAAATTATATACTTCGTACTTCATTTCTGAGTATGATATTAAATTTTACACACACATTGATTGACGTCACTAAATAATATTCACAGATAACACAGATAGTTTAAACGAAGTTATTCGATTTCTTTTCATTAAAAAACTTCCCTGCCTATATAGATAAAATTGGTTAAAAGGTTTAACTCACAATGAATATTAAATAATGATTATAAATTAAATTTATTTTTTATTGTTGATCATAATAACATTATGTAAGCTTTACATTATGTAAACCATGTGTGGATATATCGATTGGATACGCTGTAAAAACTGCCTTGTGCATATAAAATATATTTTAATAGCCCGTGGAACGTGTATTAATGAAAATTTTTTTTTTTACCCCCCGAATAATGTACGTATTGAATAGAACGAAAAACTTTCCAATGATGTTTTTTGAAAGTAAATGAAATTCGTAAATGTTTATAAACTTCATTTGAAAATATACAGCAAATTGGATGTAATTCTTCACAGCTCTTCAGAATTACCACTCATGTAAAAAATTCAAGAAAAATCACACTTTCAAAATAAAACATAGTTAACACATTACCAATAAAAATATATTATAATTTTAAATGTTGGAAACTTGATAAAATCAATAATATTATATTGGTGCACTTTAATAAAATTTGTTGTTACGGAAATAAAAAAAAAATAACACAACAATACCTTATATTGACACAGTTTGAAGCTTTACAAAGAGAGAGAAACATGATTGTACATTTTACCTGTAAGAGAAGACTTCTGAGTTTTGAGTGTGTATGGAACACTAAAGACTGCACAAAACCAGCCCATATATTATGTAATTGAAAACGAATAAATTCAAATAAATCGTTATGCAAACATTATAGAAACGTAAAAATAAATATTCGTTGGAAATGGGAGTATAAAATATTTAGTAGGTACCTATCTGAACTGTAATCAACTGTCTTCAATACAGAACTATGTCTTGTGTTCACTGTATCAAATAAATACGCAGTCGTTTCTAGTGCGGGTGACAAATAATCGTCTTGGCGTGCCGAATTTATATTGAAAATTAGGGGCGCTACAATACAGCTTGGCTAGCTTTTTACATATATTACCTATATATCTGCAAACGTCATAGTATGAATAATATGTTGAGATATTGAGGTGTTCGAGGGTTGAAAACGCCAAAACGTCAAGACAGCGAAAAGAGGCTCCTATCGTAAACGTATGTAGGTAATAATATATTATTATATACCAATAATTATTTACTACATATAGAATGTGGTGGACAGTCGATAAATGCACTTTAACATAATATTGTGGGCGAGAAAACGTCAACTCTTACGGAACTCGGACCTGAATCCATGTGGATTAATTGGTGAGAAGGCGAATGCATGTTTACAGTAGGTACTGACACGCCGTAATGATGTGTACACGTGGTATTTTTTATTTGGGAAATAATTCGGCTGCGCCCGTGATCTTATCGATTCAAATATCGTCGTGTTTCAGCCTATAATTGGACATTGGATTGTGCTCATTGTTCCGTATTTCATTGTTATTCAAACCCTTTAATGATTTTTGCACCATTTATGATTGCCTCTCAAAATAATTATGTAAACTCTATATATTTTTGTAATTTGCATTCCAATACATTCTTTTATCAAATATTATGACGTCATGTGCACAAGTCGTAGCGCTTTTACACCACTAGAGATTGATTTTCAATTAACGAATTTACATATCTATAAGACACTAACATGTCACTCGTACCACTCAGTCAAACTAAGTTCAACGTTTTTAAGATCTTACAGATATATAACGAAATTAATATATATTTTTCTAGACGTTCTAAAACGCTTTATTCGTGTAAGTTTTCTTTACATGATAGGGTAATCAGAAATTTAATTGAAATCGCTTCTTTTTTTGTAACTGACAACTGTATGGTAATGTAACGACAGCACGAAATATCTTGTATGATGGTCTGCACATAAAAAAACAACCCTAAAAAAAATTTAATTAAAAACAAAAACTAATAGGTATTGTTTACGTAAATTTAAATTAAATAAATAAATAATTGTTGAAATGTTGGTAATTTAGCATGTAAAATAATAATAGTTAACAGGCATTATGTGTTTTTTTTTTTAAAAATTCAACTATTTTTAACTTTGATTAAAAGAGTAAAGTTTTTGCTCGAATATCATAATTTAGTCTAGAAAAAAAAATGTAAAATAAAGTACAATGTCAGACGTTGTGTGTATTATATTATTATAAAGAATGACCCCTCTGTTTAAATGAGCTCACATGTGACAGTGACAGTTTTTAACGAGACAACGGTTGTTGAGGCCATAGACGAAGTATAATTTAATAATAATAATGAACTAGTATTTGGACATTTCCCTAACAACAGTCTGGCGGGACATTGGAAATTCACCTCTCATGGATATTAGAATATTTTCTTAACAACAACAAAAAATTATTTTCCGAACGAATTCATATTAAAAAAACTTGACTAGATTTATTTTATATCCAACATCTACAATTTGGAATATTGTAAAATATGTTTTTCAGATTGAGTCTACTCATTAATCGTTTTTATTTTCTGTATAAATAAACCAGAATATTCTACTTGCTTTTTATTTTCGTTAATAACTTACCCGTGTTTTGGTTCACATATAGCTGAAAACAATATCAATAGTTATTAGTTTTATAGTTTTATACTTCTCACACAGCATATTATAATAAAACCGAAAAAGCATCAGAAAATAGCTATAAACAGTAATTTAATTTAATTCTTCAAAGTCGATCTGACACCAGCATTTTAGTATTATTGTATACGAATAATGGTCAAAGCGTAATTAGCTTTATTTTAAAAAGAAATTCTAGGCTAGGCCCAAGAGGAGGCCTGCCTACCTCCCATATAAGATAAACCTTTTCCAGAAGTCAGCCAAGAGTATGATATATAATACATTCACACCAAGCATAATGTTATTGTGCAAAATTTATAACCTGGTGAGTTATGGTAGCTCGATGTCTTTGTAATTTGAATATAATATTGATTAGTCTTCTTAACTCGAATTTTATGTATCGCGTTTTATTTAGTTTTTTTCTACTTGCCATGGATTGGCTGTTCTCTATAGCTACCTAATTATCGTATCGCTTGAATTATTAATTTTCCGTGAAAAGAAAACCTCTCTGTAGTATATTTATTTTTACTTTAGCAATATATCGGTAAAAAAAAACTTCATTTGAAGTGCATAAATATATAAGCGTTTTATAAGCTCATTTCCCAGAATGCTCGAACCGATTATTAATTTCAAAAGACCTTTGGAGTTTGAAAACAGTAATAAGATCGAAATAGGTATATACAGTACGTAATAATATAATATATAATATTATATAAGCACAGACGATTTCACAGTTTCTGGAGCTTAGACTACG